CTTCATGACTAACAAAAACTTTTTAGCTTGACACAGAAAGTCCTTCCTGATCTGGCCATCCTCTAACTTCTCCTTCCAGTTTCACACTTGCTATGCCATCAGTGTCAGGCTACTTGTAGCCAGCCATTTACATCATCTGTTTTCATGATTTCATTTCTTTGCACAAATTACACTTCTGCAACCTATATTCCAAACCAGTAATTGAATATAGAAAATTGTAAAAGTTGACAGAAGTAATCAGAAATTTCATACATGATGACATCTATAGCAGTTAAATTCATGATATAAAAATGAGAAGCCTGGGGGTGCCTGGGTGGCTCAGTGGATTAAAGCCTCTGCCTTCGGCTCAGGTCATGATCCCAGGGTCCTGGGATCAAGCCTCGCATCGGGCTCTCTGCTCATAAGGGAGCCTGCTTCCTCCTCTCTCTCTGCCTGCCTCTCTGCCTACCTGTGATCTCTGTCAAATAAACAAATAAAATCTTAAAAAAAATTAGAAGCCTGAATCCCTGATAATATAGAGATAAAATACAATGAAATATCATATAGCCATTAACATTTTAAATAAGTTGTATATACAAATGTGATTTTTTTATGAAAATAAAAATATAAAAAATACAGCAAAGTATGAAGAACATAAAGATAGCCACAATTCATCCTATCAAATAGATCCACTAATAACATTTTTTGTGTGTATATATATATATGTGTGTGTGTAGCCAAGGTTCTATATATATAGAGAGAGAGAGCCAACTTCTCCCCATGGGAATATATATATATATATATAATCTTACCCATATATAGTTCTATATCTTTTACTTCACTTAACACCATTAAGTATATTATTACAATATTTTTGGAAAATATAACTTTTAATGACTGCGTAACATTACACATACAGGACCTTTCCCCTATCTGGGTGGGAGGAGTACAGGATAAAAAACACTGCAATAAATAACTTGAACATTTATTTATCTTTGTGTGTTCTAATGGAGTTCAGAATGCTTAAACCTGCTACTTTCTGGAGAAATCTTTTGGAACAAGAGCCTTTAAGGGCCATGTTATATGCCTTATTATCCCATCGCTGGGCATGTCTGAAGGGACCAGTGTGAACATCAGATACAAAGCTAGCCAATCCAAAGGCTTCCCAGTAGCCTATGCCTTAGCCTGACCTCAAAGGCTTGTGTAGAGGTAGTAATGAAAATTGAGCCAGTCATCTTTCCCCACTCAGAAATCTGAATAGAGACCCAGAAGGAAGTTACAAGTTAGTGGTAAGCAATAGAATTTAAAAACATATTCATGGATGTGGTGGCAATTCTAGACTGCAGAATCAGTAAACAGGTCAACATGTAGAGGGGAGAGGCTACCCAAAGGGAAACAAGTTTTTGGGACAATGGCTTTGTGTAATGGCTTTCCAGAGTAAGTTCCTATATAAAAGCTTTTGTCCTTCTATTTTTTCTGTGAGATTTTAAAACATGAATGTTATAGAGCTCTATCTTTGTTAGATAACTTAAGTGGGTCTCTGTTCTTTGGAAATAGAATCACTCTAATACTGTGTAATCTATTCCCAAAAGATATATGCCTAGACATGAAATAGCTGTTGGAAGGAATATCAACAATTTTAAGGCTTATGATTAGCCAAATAGCTTTCCAGAGTCTATCAATTTACCCTCATTGTAAATAGTGTATAAGTATCAATCACTCTGTACTCTCACTGAAGATAGCTATTAGAATTGTTAATAAAAGTGGTGTTTTATTGCTTTAATCTGTGGATGTCCTTTGCCAATATTTAGTAGATGCCCATCTTACTAATTTATAGAAGTTCTTAACTGTCAGAGTCATGACAAATATTTTTCCTATTATCTAATTTCCATGTTTTTTACCTACAGTTTAGAAAATTTTATGTGGCCAAATTCCTAGGTATTTTTTCTGAGTTCTTCCTTTTTATCTGATTCTTTAAAAAAGCTTATGTGTGTGTTTTCATCTATATAAAAATCCACTTTGGTGAATTCAAACATTCATGTTAAAGTAGCACAACCCTCTTTAGAAAGAAATTTTATGCTAATCTTGAATATGAATTAGATGAAAATGAGGTTAAATTTGTAGTTCATTTCTGATGTACCATCCTACATGAAACCACATGGAGGTTCACAGAAGTCGGCCTGAAAACCTGTGCTTTAATTAATACATATTAGAACAATATATATATGATGTAGGTCATGAAAGTCCAATTTAGTTTTTTACCAGAGTTAAATCATTTTCTTAGCACCATTTACTGAATAATCATTTTCCTATTCTTTGGTATTTTTAATATGTAAAGTATATATGCATATATACTAAATATATTACATATGTTATCCATATACTGGTCTGTTTCTAAGCAATTTACTGACTGAGCATTCTGAACATTTTTTTCAAATGTACAATCAGTTTCTCCATTAATTTCAATATATCATTTACTTTTTTTTTATCATTTTCTTTTTATTTTAGGGCAATGTCATTGATCTTTTAAATTATCTTTGCTCTTCTCCAGTGTCTGTTTTTCTTAAAAGACTTTAGATTTTTTTTTTTAATTTCAAATCTCATTGGGGTTTTGATGAAATTTGAAATCTATAGATTAACTTAGGAACATTTCCTCTAAAAAAAATTATAAGACTTCTCTATGCAAGTCCTCTTTTATTTTCCTCAGATTTTTTTCATTGTTTTCATTCTACATTTTTACTTGTTCTTTAGAAAATAAATTTAAGTGTTACTATAAACCATACTTTTTCCTACCCATATTTTCTGATTATAGCAAAAATTTAGGAAACTACTGGTTTTTATATTTTTACTCACCTTATGTATTTTATCTAACACCCATAGTCTCCCTCTCAGGCATTTATATATAATCTGCTTTTATACTCAGCATTTGTGTGTTAAATATTTTTTTACACAGCTACTTATTTTGGACACTTGACTGTTTTTAAATGATGTTAGTTCTCATTGACAGTTTTAGGCCATAATTTCCACATTCTTGAGCTCTCTTTAAGAAAGGAACATGTGATGAGTACTGGGTGTTATACACAACTAATGAATCATTGAACACTACATCAAAAACTAATGATGTACTATATGGTGGCTCACTGAACATTAAAAAAAATGTATGATGTTTCCTGTCTTATCTAATCTATTACCTGCATAATTTAGACAATAATGACAATTTAGTTGATTAAAAATAATACCATAGGTGATAACAGGTTTTTAATCTCATATTTCTGAAGTTGATGTTCCACTCTCCTTTGACATTTACTTTTGGAGTTCTTTATCCATTCTCTTTTCACCAGCTTTGCAGATTAGCCAGAATTTTTCTTTCTTCATGCTTTAGGTTGTTCTTTTCCCTAAGCTGTTTCTAAGATGGTTTTTATATTGTTTTTTTCTAAAATCTAGTGAACATATATATGTTTAGCTCAGGTAAAATATCTTCATTTCTTTGATCATTGATTCTATTCCATATTCTTTTAACTTTCTTAGAAACACCTTTTATTCCTACATTAGATCTCCATTCTTTGTACTTCCTGTCTTTTCTCATTATTTCCTTCTCATTATCCTTTTTGTATACACTGAAGATATCTCAAGTTCATTCATTACAGTATTTGATATTCTGCAGTGCCAATTCTGCTTCTGTTGCCTTTAACTTTGATCCGTTTTAAATTCTCTGTAGTCCTTCATTGTTTTTCTTTGTTTTAGAGGTTCTTCTCTACTTACTGATTTCTGCTCTAGTTTTACTGACTTCAGTTTTTTTTTGTAATGCTACTCAAGACACCTGTTTTTTGAAAATTTCTTCAGGAGACTGAAATAGCTAATTTTCAGGGCTGTCAGGTTTAACTCTTCATGGTAGTGTTCTTTCTTTGGTACTGCAATTCCCTGTTATTTCCCAAACAAGTCCACTTAATTTAGTATCTCTTGGGCAATGATGTCTAAACATATTTATATTATCAATAGTTAGGACTTGTATATTCCCGCTGACTCCACTCCATTTTTACAATGGCCAGATTCTCTCTTCTTCCATAATTAGGTTTTAGTTCAGTTTTGCACATAGCTTTGAGTTTAGTTCTGCTTTCAGCAGCTATTTCTCTATTATCTCTCTCTTCTAAGAATAAATCAGTCTACTGCTTAAATCTCTAATTATGAACAGATGGAGTATCTTCAGTTTCCTGACAATTCACTTCTATTAGCTTTTACTGACATCTTTCACACCCTACTTAGAGACATTAAATATTGTATTTCTTGTTACATGGTATCTGAAGCTATGAATCAATGTGGAATCCTGGGAAGGATGTGAGTGTGCTATGATAACCTGAAAGTGCAGCACCCCTGCAAAAGATGGTTCCTGACTTTTCTGGCTGACAGAGATAACATCTCTACAACATCCTGTCTCAGGTGAAGGATCATGCAGTACTTCCCTATCTTATGTCATAAGCAATCAAATTGTCCTGCCTTGTAATTTAATTCTTCCACATTTAAGCAATAGGTTATCTACCAGTTTGAGTTTGAGGTTTTGTGTGTGTTCTTCTTGTGGCTTCCTAGGAACTTTACAGAGGAGTCAGGATGCTGTTTCATAGCTAGCTACCCAATTTGCATTAAAAAAAAAAAAGTAAATGTCTCAAAGTCAGTGAAAAGATAGAGTTGAATATACAGTGTGATTTCACTCACATGAAAATGCACACAAAAAAGGCTAGAACAAAACAGGATGAAGAGTTTTCTTCTTGAATCTTTCATATATTTTATAATGGATATGTATGATATAATAGAAAAAGAAAATACACTTTCATTTTAAATATATAGGCATCCTCCTAAGGATTTCTTCTTGAACCAAATGATTCTTAGTGGGAGTTGGGGGAAACTAGAAATGTTGCTTGGGATTATTTGGGTTTATTTATAGACTTTTCTTCCCTGCAGCATTTATTGGACTGAATGTTAAGCTTTGATTAAAGTGGTTAACTAAGTAAATGTAATTATAAGGTTTCTCATGTGTGATTATTGTGAAGATGAGAATTTTGATCAAATCCCTTATAATACTCATGGCATTTATGAGGTTTCTCTCCTATGTGGACTCTTTGATGAATTCGAAGAGCTGAGCTATGACTGAAACCCTTGCCGCACTTAGTGCATTGATAAGGCTTCTCTCCTGTGTGGACTCTCTGATGAATGTGAAGATTAGAGCTGTGACTAAAGCCCTTTCCACAATCATCACATTTATAGGGTTTTTCTCCTGTGTGGACTCTCTGGTGAATGAGAAGGTGGGAACGCTGACTGAATCCCTTACCACACTGTTCACATTTATAGGGCTTCTCTCCAGTATGTACTCTTTGATGAGTATGAAGCTTCGAACTCTTGCTGAAGCCCTTCCCACATTCATGACAAGTATAGGGTTTCTCCCCAGTATGGACCCTCTGATGAATACGAAGATCAGAGCTATGACTAAAGTCCTTGCCACAGTCGTCACATTTATAAGGCTTCTCTCCTGTATGTACTCTCTGATGAATTTGGAGATTTGAGCGCTGGGTAAAGCCCTTACCACAGTTATCACATTTATAGGACTTCTCTCCCGTGTGGACTAACTGATGAATCCGAAGATTTGAACTCTGACTGAAGCCCTTGCCACACTCATCACACTTATATGGTTTCTCTCCTGTGTGGACTCTCTGATGAACATGAAGTACTGAACTCCGACTAAAACTCTTACCACACTGATCGCACTTAAAAGGCTTCTCTCCTATGTGAAGTCTCTGGTGAATCTGAAGTAATGAATTTCTACTGAGGTCCTTATTACACTCAAATTTATAGAGTTTCTCTTCTGTGTGGACTCTTTGATGACTGTGAAGACTAGAGATCTGACTGAAGCTCTTACCACACACGTGGCATATGTAAGAGACCTCCCCTGTATAGACCCTCTGATGAAAGTGAACACCTAAGCTTTGCCTGAAGTTACTGTCAACTTCATCACATCCATACAGCTTCTTACCTATGTGAATTCTTGGATGTCTGTACAGGTCTGATCTCTGAGAGAAGCATGCTGTGCTGATAGAGCATTGAAAGAACTTTTCTCCATGTTGATTTCTCTTGTGGAGAACACACTGTGAGTTCCAATAATAAATTTCTTTACATTTATTACATCCACAGTATTTCTCTTCCACAGAGTTTTTCAGTAGGTCATGTTGACATAGTTCCTCAGTGTACTCTGGAAGGGCTTCTACTGTTGGTACATAAGAATGCTGAACTATGAGCTTCTGTTCTTTTTCCACAGAGAGATTTTTCCTAGATATGCCAAGATGGCATCTGCTTCCTTGAAAACCAGGTAAATCATTCACATAGATTTCTCTAGCATAGTCTTCATGGGTATGTTTTGTTTCTAAGGACTGCCAAGGTATAAACTTTGTATATTTTAAGTTCCTGGGACTTTTGCCTTCAAAAGTTAATTCACAGTTCCCATTCCGTGGTACTTGGGTGGAGAGTATTAACCATTCCTGATGGTGGGAAAGATCTTGTTGCTTTAGGTCTTTCGAAACTATTCCTTGGATGGTTTCCACATAGTTTCTATTCTCATATATTTGAGTCCTGGCATTCCTCCAGCCTTGCCAGCAGGGAAGATTTTCATGTTTTAAGTATCTAAATCTTTCTTCTTGGGGTTTGTAGCTCTCTTTCCAGTTTCCTAGAATAAGCAGATAATCCATTGGTGAGATAAATGTGGTTTTTAAAAATTTCCAAGTATCTCAAGCATTGACTTCCAGAATTACAGGAATAAATGTGTGGGTGGGAATGGGAAAGGATTATGCTTAGGCTGCTCCATATTTCGTCTGAAATTCATGCCTTTGTTCATTCATATATATACATTAATTCATTCACTTATTCAGACATGCTGTAGATTTATCTTGAGCATCTGCTCCTTATCAAGTACTGTTAGAAATAAACAAGTAAGGCTGACTGTTTCATGGAAATCATCTTAAAAACAGATTTAATTAGATTACTCTGTTTGGAGCATTATTTTAAGAAATAAAATATTGGGGATGCCTGGGTGGCTCAGTTGGTTAAGCAGCTGCCTTCGGCTCAGGTCATGATCCCAGCGTCCTGGGATCGAGTCCCACATCGGGCTCCTTGCTCATCAGGGAGCCTGCGTCTCCCTCTGCCTCTGCCTGCCATTCTGTCTGCCCATGCTTGCTCTCTCTCCCTCTCTCTCTCTGACAAATAAATAAATAAAATCTTTAAAAAAAAGAAATAAAATATTGTTTCTATTTTTTTGTTCTAGCAGAGTGTGACCAGTTGTGTGAAAAAATGGCTGCATTAACTCTGTACCTCTGGGTGTTCCCCTTCCATGCTGACTTTAGCTTGGCTATACAATTTGGTTTAATGGGACGATAGCAAGAGTGATACAAACAGAGACTTGAAAGTGCCTGCGTACTTGGAGCTTGCCCTCTTTTTGCTAGTTTTGAAAATTCTATGACCACCACCACGTAAACAAGCCTGGGCTAGCCTGCTTGAAGAGCGGCATATGGTCAACACATTCCCATTATCCCCACTGCCACCAACCAACTCCCAGACATCTAAGTCTGACTGTCCAGCCTCATCACAGACCATCCAGCCCCAATCAGATCACTCTGTGATAGAAGATCCATCTAACCAATTAGAATCATGAAAAATAATGTTTTGAGTCACTAAGTTTGGGGTAGAGTTTGTTATATAGCAAAAGCTAACTTGTATAAATAGTATGAAGAGAGAACAAATTTAGGACCACACAAAATTGATGTGTAGAGGTCTGCATTTTAAGTGTAATCCAGAAAATGAATAAGAATAAAAATCACAAATACCTATTAATTACATAGCCTAGGTGTCTTGGGAGATGTCTTGCTCTATCTTCTGTCATCTGATTTATGACCCATTTCTGAGGGTCATATTCCTTCTATCTCAATACAATACCTAGATAAAGAACCAAAATACTCAACAAAACTGGTTCCAGAAGATACTAATTCTGTTACCTAAGAGCTGGGATAACTTTACCTACTGACATGACATTTGTGTAGTTCTCCCACATGACCTCTCTATAGAGCTTTTTTTGAGAAGAATCCAGGAATCTCCATTCCTCCCAAGTAAAAATAACAGTCACATCTTCAAATGTTACTGCCATCTGGTCAAAGATCAGGTTTTCCAAGAAGAGACCTAAGGGAGAAGATGGACAAGGAAACAGCCATTCAGCAGGTAACATAAATGACAAATGAAATCAAAAAGAAAGAACTTCAGTAATGAAAAAAACAAGAAAAGTAAGAGGATACTTAATAATAGGGATGGCTAAATAATGTATCTAGTCACTGAAGCCCATCACAGTCATAAGAAACATATAATAGCATCTGTCTGCTAACCACTGGGCTAAGGACTTCACATATACTTCGTAATCCTCACAGCAACCTTCTCTTATAGATACTATTATTATCCCGATTTTTAAAAAATGAGTAAGTAATGGTTGAAAAAGATTAAGTCAATTGATTCCCCCAACACTTTTTATTCTGGAAATGTTCATCTTCCTGCTCCAATCTCGGCTGGCTATTCTTTAGTGCTCCATTTTCAAGATCATATACTTCTTTTTCCCTTTTGTGATTTACTCCATTAATTGGGAGGTATATGCCCAAATGAGTTCAGTCAAGCTTATGAATGTTAATTTCATGGCCACTGAAAAAAAGCAAAGGTGAGAAACAAGCTAAAGTTTTCTTCAGGACACACATTTGGTTTAAAGGAGAATGTCCAAGCTTGCTTAGTGTCCTTATCATCACTCACAAGTGGCTGGGTATCAAATTCAAGAGTGAAAAGAATTTTTCTCAGAATTGCTTCACTGTTTGTATGCCTTCATTGTTGTTTCTAAGACCTTTTTTTCTTTAATTCTCATTCCTTTGTGAGCAACTTTTTCTTTGCTCTCTGTAAATATTTTAGGGTCCTCTTTTGACTGGCCCTCTGCCTCCAATGGTATGGATGCATCTTCAGCTTCTCTGTAGTTCAAAGGGTTTATCAAATCCTTCTTGTGCTTATTCCCCTGTGGAGCATTCCAGGATGTAAAGTCTTTAGCCCTATGAGGCTCTTACCACCGTTCTGCCTCTTGCTTTACAAGTTGTGTGTGTGTGTGTGTGTGTGTGTGTGTGTGCGCGCGCGCGCGCACGTTTTAGGAAGTTATTATTTATTTATTTATTCGTTGAGAGAGCGTACACACAGGGATTTGTGGGGATGCAGAGGAAAAGGGAGAGAAAATCCCAAGACTCCAGGCTAAGTATGGAGCCTGAGGTGAGGCTAGATCCCACCACCCCAAGATCATGACCTGAGCTGAAATCAAGAGCCAGATGCCCAACTGCCTGAGGCACCCAGGCATCCCTTCCAAGTTTTTGTTGAAATTCCTTATTTTCTGATGGCTCCTTATTTCATCATTGAAGATTCAGACAGTTTTTAGTTTCTTATTACCATCATGAAGTTTTAGAAAAAAAGAGATAAATATATGTATTCAAACCGCCCAAAAATTATTCTTTTAGTGGAGAGAACACCTCATAAATAGGTTATTTGACAAACTGATTTCATTTTTTGATGACATTCTCAATTCTAAAGTTCAATTAAGAATGTTTAGTAAATACTATGAATAAAGGAAATTGGTAGATTTCATGGAGGAAAACTAGAATATCATGACTACCAAATCATTATAATCATAGCAGTTAAATATTATCAAGAAGTTATGTGAAAAGGGCTGTTATTTATTATCACAATAATCCTCTAAGGTATAATTATCAATACTAAAGGAATAAGGAAACCAACATTTAGCAAGATTAAGTAACTTGGACAAGGTCATGCAGTTACAAAATAGTGGCCTACCTACTAAGTCAAGTCAGAGAAGTCAAAAACAACTTGGTAAAGGATTGTAAATCAAGATTTCCATGTTTATCCTTATTGTGTTAGCAAAAGGACAAAAGGAAGATGTACTGAAATATTCAAGGATTCAAAATATACCACCCACATACTGCTTTCCAAATAAACTACATGAAAATCCATGGGTAAACAATGAAGTACTAAGCACAAATGACAATTCAAGAAGGAGAAAATACAATGCTATTTTTAAATGTTTATAAATGTTAAAAACTCAGAATATAATAAGTCTATTTTAACATATACAAATGAAATTATAAATAAAATCAGAAAAGAAAAATGGGATGTTTAGATTCCCAGATGACAAGACTGAAAACTGGAGTCAGAACAGAAAATAAATGAACTCACTGGTTCCTTATTTTGTAAAAAGTACAGAAAAATAAAACTCAGCCTGTTGTTACTGGCTTTGTTATTTTTTAAATATTTAAGAATTTCTTTAAAAATTATACTAGAGGGGCACCTTTGTGGCTCAGTCAGTTAAGTGGCTAACTCTTGATTTCAGCTCAGGTCATGACCCCTGGGTCCTGGGATGAAGCCCTACCTCAGGCTACATGCTCAGTGAGAAGCCAGCTTGAGGATTCTCTCCTCCAGCCCTTTCCCTCTCTCCCTCTACCTATACCCTTGCTTGTGCATGTTCTCTCTCTCTCAAATAAATAAATCTTAATATACTAGAGATTGAGTCCAGTTGCTCTCCCAAAAATAAACTCATTAAATTTTAAAATAATTCTGAAGTAATATAAATAAAAACTGAAAGCCTACTCTCCCCAAATAACTTGAGAAGTAACCAGGATAGTTTTTACTGTCCTTTCTGACTTTTTTTCATGCATACCCACAAACATACATACCCCACTGACATTTTTTTCTTAACTAAGACGTGATAATTCTGATTTGCATTTTTCACATAATACATAATGTACAACTTCACATTCCAGTACATATGTCTATTTTATTTGTGGTGGTTTTAAAATACGTCCACAAATTATTTGAATATAATAATACTATATTCAAGAGGTGTAGCCAGTTCCCCACCCTTCAAGCATGGGCTAGACTTAAGGACTCACTTCTAATGAATTTTATATAAAAAACAGAAGAGGAAAAAGTAATGCTGTGCAACTTTCAAAACTAGCTCTTAAAGGCACTGCAGCTTCCACCTCGCCCATTTTCTTAGATCACTCACTCTTGGAGAAACCGCCTTCCATGTGGTAAGAATACTTAGAAGTCCTGTGAAGATGCCATGTGGCAAGGAACTGAGGCCTTCTGTCCTCTGAGAAATGAGGCATCCTGCCAACAGTCACATGAGTGAACCATCTTAGCAGAGGATTCTCCAGCCCCGTGAAGCCTGCCAATATCTGCAGTCCGGCTGACAGCTTGACTGCAGCCTCATGAGAGACCCTGAGCTAGAACCACACAGCTACACTGCTCCCAGCTTCCTGGGAGATAATGAGATATTATTATGAGTGACAAAATAAATTTGTGTTATTTTAAACTGCTAAATGTTACTTACTAGGCAATAAATATTGTTCTAGCAAACATTCTATTAGAGTTTAATTACTATTACAAATTGTTTTAGAAAACAGAAAGTCAAAGCTGCTAGCTATGTGGCTAGTGTAATCTTGACTCCAAGACCAGATAAAGACAATACAAAAAAGTTAGATTATAATCCCATTTGTAAATTTTATAAATCTGTAATAATCCTAAATAAAATATTAGATAATTGAATTCAGAAGTACTTTAAAATATGCATCATGGTCAAGCATCATTATAGGAAGGAAGGACAGTTCAATATGAGAAAATCTATCAATATTATTTATTAATAGACTACAGAAGAAAACCATAATTAACTGATGAAGAGAAATCAAGTGATAAAGTTCATAATGTTCAACACCTTTATATGGTCTTTTTTTTTTAACGATTTTATTTATTTTTATTTATTTGAGAGAGAGAGAGAGAGCAGGAGAGGGGAGAAGGCCAGAGGGAGAAACAGACTTCTCAAGGAGCTGGGAGCCTGATGCGGGACTCATGACGTGAGTTGAAGGCAGTCACTTAATCAACTGAACCACCCAGGTGCCCCCCTTTATATGGTCTTTAAAAACTTTTAGCAAAGTAGGAATAAAAAACCCTCTTAATTGGTAAAGTTTACATATTAGGAACCTATATCAAACATTAAGCTGAATGGACAAACTTTGTGTTTCTTTTATTATGGTAAACAAGTTAAGAGTGACTCCAGTCACCACTGCTTTCAACATAGTATCAAAGGTCTGATAAACACTGTAAGAAAATGAAACGAGGCATAAGGATTAGAAGTAAATAAAAAAATGTAACTATTTGCATATATTATGGCAATCTACCTAGAAAAACCAAGAGTACATAGATAAACCTTAAAATAAACAGAGCTCAGCAAAATTACCAGATACAATAAAGCGTAACAACCACTAGAAAATGGGGGACACCATTCACCAAAAGCAAAAAAAACACTATCTTAACCAAGAATATAGAGAACTCTTGGAAGATAACATTTAAATTCGAGTACGCAGAAATAAGACTTAAATAAAAGGAAAGGCATACTTCCATGTTCTTGGATGGGTTGAATTAAATTCAGTATACCACCCCATCAAATTCCAACTGGATTTTTTTGAGGAACACAATATACTTTTCCCCTAAAATTTACAGGGAAAGAAAAGAAGAATATAATATACTTAAGTAAACCAAGCAGGAAGACTTGCGTTGCCAAACAGTGACACACTGCCAAACTACAACAGTAAAATGAGAACTGACAAACAGACCAGTAGAACAGCATGGAAGATTCAGACTGTGCTTGTTTATATACAACACATTAATAATGAAGATGGCATTAAAAATAAAAGTTAAGAATGGATTATTTACTAAATGGTGTTGTGAAAACTGAGTAACTATATGAGAAAAAATAAAAGTGGATTCCAACTTAGTATCATATACAATGTAGACACTAGATGGATTAAACACTTAAAGTGGGGGGCACCTAGGTGGCTCAGTTGGTTAGGCATCTGCTTTCAGCTCAGGTCATGATCCCAGAGTCCTGGGGTAGAGCCCCACATCAGGCTCCCTGCTCAGCGGGGAGCCTGCTTCTCCCTCTCCCTCTCCCTCTGCCTGCTGCTCCCCCTGCTTGTGCTGTCTCCCAAATAAATAAAATACTTTTTTTAAAAGGGAAAGGTATAGAGTAAACAAAAGAACATGGAGTTGAAAAACATTTACCATTCTGAAATGAATCTAAGTGCCAGTTTGTT